GTTTAGGGCCACTAACTGTGCGACTCGTGCGGTTGTCCTGTGCTGCAGTCGGGTCGCCAAAGATGTAATGCTGGTCGGTATATTGGATGTTCGGGCTGTCGAGGTTCTTGAAGATGCTGTTCGTCGGAGGTCACCAAATGTGCGCGTGTAAGGGATAGGTTTCCATAATTGTAGGAAATAATAATAAATGATCTTACACGAACACTACAAACTTTAATCTAATTTAACAATCAACAAGCGCGAGAGAATACAGCAGATAAATGGCGGAACAACTAGTAGTAGACTAAATCGATTATATTTTTGCGCGCCACGTTTTAAGACTCCAGAGTGACTAAGACCATAGACTAGTGAAGCTTGACAAGCCCGCGACAACCAACGTCATAGAAGTTAGATGTTCTATGACCATAGACATAACATGATACACTACAGTACTCCCCCTCCAGTGGGAAAACCCACGAAACAAATAATACATAGCAAACAATGAAACAATACAAAGATAAGTACAAACGTATGAAAAGGTGAAATTACAAAAATAAGTTATATGCAAATCGTAAAAATAACATTGGGTAAGTATAAAGTTAACATTGTTTAGTTACTTAAATCGTACACATTTATTGTTTGATTGTAGCACTTCAATTTTCGCATAAGAGTGATCGTGCGAAATGGGATTATCATTCAACAGGAATGCAGGTTTGAGACGATCTAGAGAAATGTTGGTGTCACTACCGTTAATGTGCACAGTGAAATATTTTTCAGAACGGTTCACTACACGATACGGGCCATCGAACGGTGGTTGGAGAGGTTTTTTTACCGAATCACGACGCACAAACACATGTGAACTGGATTTGAGTGCTGGTGAGACGAAAATGATGGTTCTGTTACACTGCCGTTGAGGAACTGGTTGCAGGAGATTAATTTTCTCTTTTAGACGTTGGACAAAGGACGATGGATCCAAATGGAGAGAAGAAGATGGTAGAAATAGTTCTCCAGGTAAACGTAATCCTGATCCATAAAGCATTTCTGCAGGGCTGGCTTCGGCATCCTCGCGCATTACACAACGGAAGCCGAGGAGGATCATTGGTAGAATCTCAGTCCAACGGTCGCTGCGGTAAGCTTTAATAGCACTTTTTAGAGTGCGGTGCCAACGTTCGATTTTTCCATTAGTTTGCGGATGATAGGGTGAAGATCGAGATCTTTTGATGCCCAAAAGTAATGCTAGGGATTGATATAGTGAGCTTTCGAATTGACGGCCTTGGTCCGTGACAATTCGCAAAGGGATGCCAAAACGTGCTATCCAGTGAGTGAAGAAAGCTTCTGCCACAGTTGCAGCGCATATATCTGCAATAGGTATGACTTCTACCCAACACGTAAATCGGTCAATGATTGTTAAACAATATGAGAAACCTCGTGAAGGTGGTAAGGGACCAACTATATCCATGTGAATAAATTTAAATCGTTCTGTAGGGATTTGTATAGACTGAAAAGGTGAACGAGTATGCCGTTGAATTTTTGCTTTTTGGCAACCAATGCATGACCGTGTCCATAGTGCAATGTCTCTTCTGATAGATGGCCATACGAATTTCGTGATTAATTTTGTGGTTGCTCTAATACCAGGATGTGCCAAGTTATGGAAATTATTATACACTACCTTACGCAAAGAAGGTGGTACAAAAGGACGAACTTGCGATTGACTAATGTCACAATGTATCGGTAATTTGCCATTAGGGAATTTAATTTGACGTAGTAAAAGAGAAGTGGAGTTTGGATTTTGAATAATATTTTGTAGTTCAGAATCATCTTGTTGATATTGAGCTAGTTGTTCTAGATCAATAGGGGTAGGACAATTTATAGCTTCTAAGCGAGAAAGAGTGTCAGCTGTGATATTATCTTTACCACTAATGTGTTTGACTATTGTAGAAAACTGACTTATAAAATTTAACTGATGAAATTGTCTAGGTGAGCTTTTATCTCCTTTCTGTGAGAAAGCGAAGGTCAAGGGCTTATGATCAGTATAGATAGGAAAGGGTCTGCCTTCAAGAAAATGACGAAAGAATTCAATAGCTGAATATATAGCTAAAAGTTCGCGATCATAACTACTGTAATTTTTTTGGGTAGGAGTGAGCTTTTTTGAATAAAATCCTAACGGCTTCCAGGCGTCAGATTCCCATTGCTCAATGACTGCACCAATGGCAATATCTGATGCATCAACAGTGAGGGAAATGTGTGCGTTTGCAGAAGGATGAGTAAGAAGAATTGCGTTAACCAAATTTGTTTTGCACTTTTGAAGAGCTGCTAATGACTCAGGAGACCAGGTTATAAGTGTTTTGTTGTTTTTCTTACTGGTTTTAAGAAAGTTGTGTAAAATTGCTTGGTTGTTTGCGGCATTTGGACGATAAAAATTGATCGTACCAAGAAAACGTCGCAATTCTTGAACGTTTTTAGGAGGTGGGAAGTTTTGAATGGCCAACACCTTGTCAGTTAAAGGTTTGGTTCCTTCGGCGGAAACTTCGTAACCTAGGAAATTTATTTTGGCTTCACCCAATTTGCATTTGGCCGGTATGATGGTAAGATGGAAATTTTGAAGGCGTTCAGATTAGACGAAGCAATAAGAATATCGTCGATATAGACGAAACAAAATGGTAGATCCTTTAGAACTTCATGGATAAATCGTTGAAACGATTGAGCTGCATTACGCAAATCAAATTGCATTTTGGTAAACTCAAATAGACCAAAAGGTGTAATTATGGCTGTTTTAGGGATTGAAGTTGGTTCAACATTTACCTGATGGAATGCTCGAACTAAATCGATGGTGCTGAAGATTGTTTTTCCTTTAAGAAGATGAGAGAAATCCTGGATGTGAGGTATAGGATAACGATCTGGTATTGTAATCTTGTTGAGTGAACGGTAATCACCCACAGTGCGCCACTGTCCATCTTTCTTTTTAACCATATGCAATGGACTTGCCCAAGGGCTGTTTGAAGGACGACAAATTCCTTGTTGTGTCATGTATTCAAATTCCTGTTTTGCAATGCGAAGTTTGTCTGGAGGTAACCGACGCATTCTTGCAAAAACCGGAGGTCCAATTGTTTGAATGTGATGCATGGAGTTGATTGAGGGTGGACAGGTTGTAAGTTGAAGTGGTTTACTAAATGTTGTTATTCCAGGGAAATCTCGAAGAATATCGGAAAATTTGGAATTTGGAGCGATAGTAGATAGGGAAGCTGATGAATGTGATGAGATACCTGGTGAAGTAATTTTAGTTAAGGTATCGATCAATTTGCCTTGTCTGATATCAATAAGGAGATTAAAATGGTGAAGAAAATCTGCTCCAATGATAGCATTTTTTGTGTTGACAATGATAATTGGCCATGAAAATGAACGACGTAAGGCAAGGCTAGTTGTTAATGTTTTTGTACTGTAAGTATCGATAATTGTATTATTGGCTGCATATAATTTAAATTCCGATGGTTGTAGTCTTGCTGATGAACGTGGAATTATTGAGACGTCAGAACCTGAATCGATCAAAAATTTGATCTTAGTTGTAGGATCATAAATGATTAATCGACGACTGCAATTTTTGAGAGATTCTAGACGACTGTGTTTGTCCGCGCCTTTAGTCGTCTCGTCAGACGCGGATTCTAGTTTTCCGGCTCACTAAAATGTGAGTTAGTACTTGGTGTTTTAAAATATTTGCAGGGAGAACAACATTTTTTAGCTTTATCTTTAAATTGACGGTAATACCAACAAAGATCATTGTCAACGACACGTCGTTTTGGGGATTTCGAACGCTCTCTAAATTGACTAGGAGTATTTTTTGGGAAGCGTTGGAAATCTCTGTGGTATGCTGTTTTGAGTTCTGCTACATCGTTAACCAGCTGTTGTAATGTACCAGTGAAATTATTGTCATTTACATTAGTGGAAACAATGTTGCGAGGTAAGAAATCAATCTCAGCTATTTTGTCTGCCATTTTAGCTAATTTTTCAAGTGTGTCAGAACTTGTAGTTAATACGGATTGTATGTGAGCAGGAAGACGCTGCATCCATAAAGTTTTAAGTAGTTCTTCGGGGACTGCTGTGCCTCCTAAACGATTCATTTCGTTTAATAGGTGTGACGGTTTTTTGTCACCTAATTCGACACCTGATAGTAGTGTACGAAGACGTTGTTCATGTGAATCGGAATAAATGTTTATCAGTCTCTCTTTAATTGCAGAATACCTGTTAATGGTAGGTGGAGAAATTAAAATGTCTGTTACCTGAGATAAAATTTCTGTGTCGATAGCACTAACTACGTAGTTGAATTTTGTTAGGTCCGCAGTTACATTTGCTAGTTGGAACTGAGCTTCCAGTTGCAGAAACCATACTTTGGGATCTGTTTTCCAAAAAGGTGGTGGTTTAACTGAAACTCTGTTGATGTGGGTAGGTGGTATCGATTCTTGGGATGGTTCGACGGACATTGTAAGAAAATTTGTTGCAGGTCGGGAACCAAATTTGCTGGAAGTCGTGGACGGCAAATGTACTGCTGCTTAGGGCCACTAACTGTGCGACTCGTGCGGTCGTCCTGTGCTGCTGTCGGGTCGCCAAAGATATGATGCTGGTCGGTATATTGGATGTTGGGGCTGTCGGGGTCCTTGAATATGCTGTTCGTCGGGGGTCACCAAATATGCGCGTGTAAGGGATAGGTTTCCATAATTGTAAGAAATAATCATAAATGATCTTACACGAACACTACAAACTTTATTCTAATTTAACAATTAACAAGCGCGAGAGAATACAGCAGATAAATGGCGGATCAACTAGTTGTAGACTATATCGATTATTTTTGCGCGCCACGTTTTAAGACTCCAGAGTGACTAAGACCATAGACTAGTGAAGACTTGAAAGCCCGCGACAACCAACGTCATAGAAGTTAGATGTTCTATGACCATAGACATAACATGATACACTACAACCTTTACTCTTTATGGTAAAACTTCCTGTAATGAAGATTACTTCATAAGATAATACATGTGTCAATACGTGTTTGTATATATATTTATATACATGTTCATAGGTATGTGCACATAGTCATATACGTGTATCTCTCTCCTGGCACTCGCCAATCTTGTAACCACCTTCTATCAATAAACGTCATCTCTTTATACTGTGCATACATGATTATTTAATATAACATCACACTTCCGAACAGCGGCGTTTTCGAAAATGCAACTTTTTTTTGCTGGAAATGACGTAAAATAGCCTAATTATGAAAAACTTAGATGAAATAATCCGGGGGAAGGGCCTTTTTAACGCTTTTTTTTGCAAATTAATATTTGTAGAGCACACGTCAATGTTGACACTTCATTTTGACAGGTACTATTATCCAAAAGTCGTTTCCTTTATCGAAAATAACTTCTTTCTTTTATAAAAAGCTTACACTACTATATTTATTGAACAAATACAATAAAACAGTCAGAGGGAAGGTCTTTTAAACAATCTTTTATTTAAATAAACATTTTATGAGCACATAACCTTCCGAATTTCACAGTAACTAATCATAGACGTGCGATAGGTAATAGTCACGGCCGACAGTATCACAATGGGGACTTAGTCACTACTCGAATGTTTCCGAATACTTTTGTACAGTTTAGGTTTCGTTCGTTCGACGTGATACCTGCTCAATTGTTGTTTTTTTATATAATGTACGTAGGAATTGTTTCGATCGTGGGAAAATATACATATGATTAGGTTTATTTTCTATATTAGGTTATTTTATAGATTACTCGGCAGTTATTTCTTCCGTGGATAGAGAAGTTTAGAAATGAAGAGGTATTAGAAACAATGGAGAACAGAGGACTCTATGGAAGTCATTAAGAAATAAGCGAGATAGGTTAGTAGGACACCTTCTCAGGCATGAAGGTCTAGTCAGAGGTATATTAGAGGCAGAAACAGCAGTTAAGAGGAGTAGAGGTAGACCTAGATTGGATTATTATTCGTAAATAGTTAAGGATGTGGATTTTTTCAGTGCAGGGGAAATGTCAAAACTAACTGAGGAATCAAACTTTATTTTTTTTAAATGTTGTGCGCTGAAATAACCTAATTAGGTCGTATGCAACCTCAGCGATGGTGCTAACCAAAATTTTATCGACATCTCGGAAACGGATAGAGATAGGCTTCTGAAAAGGTCATAGACAGTCGAGTTGCACTGTTTAAAGACGTTTTAGATCACCCGCCTTATCCTCATTCCATGCATAGAGGCTGCAGCTACCTCGAGTTTTTTGGTGGAAACGGCTAGGGATAGACTTCTGAGAAGGTCATAAATCGTCGTATCGCATATCTTATAAAGAATTAGATTATCCGCATTATTCTCAATCCACGCATAGAAGCTGTAGCTACCTCGAGTTTTTTGGTGGACGACATCCCAGAGACGGTCAGAGATAGG